TGCCGAGGCCGCGGGTTCGGATCCTATATAGGGATGGCCGGTGCGCTCACTGGCTGAGCATTTGTGCAGACACCACTGTGCCAAGGGTTGCGATCCCCTTACCCATCAAAAAAAAAATTAAATTTTATTTTATTTTAAGTGTAGAGAATCAGTTCTATCTTTGCATCAAGAATGAAGAATGTACAATCAATGTATTATGTATCTAACTTGATATATCCACTTAGGTTTATCCCTGTTCCCAAATAAAGGTTCAAAAGTTTGACAGATCCAAATGGAGAAGGGAATTATATGCTTTAAGTGCATTGTAATATGAGAAGAAACCTATTAAAATCTATTCCTTTGCACTTAAGTGGTATCACTTAAATGAAAATTAGTGATGGCTTAATTCTATTTTTTTTTCCCCGAAGATGACCGGTAAGGGGATCTTATCCCTTGACTTGGTGCTGTCAGCACCATGCTCTCCCAAGTGAGCCAACTGGCCATCCCTAAATAGGGATCCGAACCCTTGGCCCCATGGTGTTATGAGCACCACATTCTCCCAAGTGAGCCATGGGCCCACCCTTGGCTTAATTCTATTTTAAAATACATTCAGAGACAGAATCTTCTACTTCTCTCTGTAACCCAATCCTTCATTTGATTCCTCCAGGTAATGCTTATTGAATAAAGGTGGAAAACATTTCTCTGCTTGAGTTCTTCAGATACAAAAAGAGTATTATGATGTCACTTCCTGATTTACTCTGGTTTGGATTTCTTGGCTCTTATAATAAAACCAATTTTCTCACCTTTAATCCACATGGTAGAACAGCAGCCTTTCTGTGGTTTCCAAATTACGGAGCCTGAAATTAAAGACAACATGCTGAAGGGAAGGAATGATGTAGATGTGGAGATGCAAAAATGAACCTTTTCATTTAAATTTTAGTAAAATATACAAGAGAAGTGCACAATTCACATGTACTTGTTTGATCAGTTTTTGCAAAGCCAGTACACTGTGTAAACAGCGCCTAAATCAAAAAACAGTATATTACTATAAAAACTTTTTGTCATTCTCATTTTCTGTTTAGTGATATGATCCTTTATTCAACTACCATCTTTATGTCTTTCTTTGAAATTGCACATATTTATATGATTTACTTCTAAAAAACTGTTTTAGCTAGTAGCTGATGACATGATAGTTTACAGTGCTACTCTAGATATAAAAAAATAAAAACTGCTGAGGGAACCTGTCTTGATAATAGCACAGGAGATTCAGGTTTCAGCCAACATTGATATAATGTAGAATCATCGAAAATGTAGGAATAGTCAAGGAAATCAAGATGTAATTTCATAAATAACTTTAGGAGCACATAGGTTTAATATTAATACTTCACCTGCAGTAGAAGGGAGTCAGGCAAAAAAAATTGAGACTATTATTTGACTAATTCACTTGATAAAAATAGCATTGAAGCTCATAATATGCAAAACCATGAGTTAAGTACCTTAGAGAACTACAAAGATTAATTAGAAATACATTCAACTGTTTACTGTCAGGGTTTTAGTCTGGGTGATGAGATAGGAGATCAGTATGTAAATAGTCCTTATAGATGGTAGAAAGTTATTTTATAAAAATTACATAGTGCTATAAAAAAAGAGGACATAAGACTTAGGAAAGCAGAGTGGATTATGTGTAGTTCTGGAGGGTGAGGGTTTGTATTGTTTTGTTTTTTAAGTGGGAGAGGGAAGGGTAGGCTAGATGGTATAGATCTTGAATGCTGGACTAAATTTGATATTTACTGTAAAGTAGGCAATTGGGAAACATTTGAAATTTTTCAGCTGGGCTGGACTGCAGAAGTAAACTGTGTCGCTAACTTCTCTGTATGGAAAAAAGCCATGAGTTATTTAGGGTTTTAGATTAGGATTTTGGATTTATGCTCAAATCCAAAATTTAGGGAAGTTGTTTTAGGGAATTCTTTGTTTAAAGTACTTTTTTGTAGACTATATTTTAGTGTATTGACTTTGTTTTAGGGAATTCTTTCTTTAAAGTACTTTTTTGTAGACTATATGTTATTGTATTGACTTCTTTTTTCAATTAGGAAATTGGTGTGTTGGCTGTTGTCTGTTGGCTTTGAGAATCAGTTTCCTAATAACAGGAATGAAAGCTTTTTTATTTATTAAAATATATATGTTTTAAATGTAGAATATTAATTAAACTGTGTTCCTAAACTGTTTTGCCATGTTGTTCATGTGCTTCTGCCCCTAAGTTGTGTGGTGTTGGGAGTAGAATCTTTTGATTTTATTATTGGTATAAGAGGGCATGAGAATGATGGTTTACTAGTTGATAGGTAGAGTAAATTGAAGTTAAAATACCTTGTAATTGGAGGACCACATGCATTTATACTTGTTAAAGATATGAGTAGTCATTATAAATACTGTGAAGTATTTTTTCTTGATATTTGTATTACAGACATTACTTCTTTGGGGGAATTAGTAACTTATTTTTGATTTGTATTATGAAATATTAAGAGGTGGGGAAGTATCAGGTAGTCCTTTTTCTCATATTGAAGGAAGAGAAAATGTGCCAAGAAACTTAGATAATCAGCATTGATTTAAAAATAGTGTTTACACTTTGAGCTACCTCAGAATTGTAGTGATCACTCAGCCAATTATGTGTTTAGAGAGCCAGATATACCTTACTCAGTTTTCTCATCTGTTAAATGGGATAACAGTAATAATTCAGTATCTTTCTTACCTTGTAAAGTAGTTTGGGGGATTAAGTGAAATACTGTATGAGAAATTTAGCACAGTGCCTGGTACAGGGCTCAATATAGGTTGTCAATTTGTGGTAAAATAAATGATCCACCAAATATTTTGATTCCTTAAGTTCATTATGATGAAGTTTTTGCATATCCACTGTGAAAATTAGCTAATGTATACACTATTTGTATAAGTAATCTTTTCCTTTGCAGTATTGTCTGTCTTTATTTTTCTACCCAGTCTGTTTGCCTTTTTTGATGAACTCTAACATTTTTACCCTTCTCATTCTATCACTCTTATCACTTATAACTCAGTAATTATTTGGTGAGTGAATGAGTAAATACTCTACATGACTTCTGCTTTTTCTCAGTTTTGGGTTTTCTGTCCTGATTCTTTTTTGTTATTCTCTCTTAATTAGTGTGAATTGTGTGATATTGTGATTCTTTTGTAGTTCAGAAATGGTTCCATATCAGTTCAGTGGTTCACACAAATAGAAATTTCTGATAGTCTTGTCTCACCTCTCATTACTCTTGCCCTTTCTACTATTTCTGTAGCTTCTTTTTAATGCTATTTGTGATCATTTTTCTTATCCTGTTTTTTCCTACCCATTTTACTTTTTGCCTTGTGTCCTGTCACATTCTTTCATCTCTTTTTTTCTTAACCTACTCTCTGTTCATGGAAACTCTGCCCCGCCCCTGTGTATTTGTGGTTACATGGGGGACTTTCTTGGTTTGCTATTTCTGTGGCCCTGTAATAAAAGTTCCTAATGCCTATTTCTCGAAGAAGGCAAACTAAAGTGATTATATGAACAGGAAAAGCTGTTGTATTTTTATCTCCTCTACTTCCTTCTTGGATTGACAATTTGATTTTGACAGTCTTAATGCTATTGATAGGTTTTAGTCTTAAAGTAGGTGATTCAGCTCTGTTGATCATACATTAGAGAATATGTTTCTCTATTCCTTTTTTTTTTTTCTCTTTAACTTCCATCTTTATAGCTTGAGCAAAAATCCTAATTCCGTTATTTCAGATCCCTGCCCAGAAATTTTGCCCTCTGATTTTATCTTGGTGTCTGGATCACTACCCAAAAAGCAAGCTGTTTCCTGGTTAGGAAGAAGTTGTTGCCTAGGGGAGAAACAAGCTGTTTTTGAGACTGGTTACCTCTTGTAGGGAAGAAGAGGATCATTAACTGGATTGTAGCTTCTAAACAGTAATCTTTACCCATCCTAAGAAATCTTTCCCTCAGCCATATTCTTCTGTGTTCCTTTCTCTTGTTTCCAACATAGTAGATTTCTTGGAAGAATAATTTTTACTGATGGTCTTTCCTGCCTCATTTTCTACTTAATTTTTTAGAGCCTGGCTTCTGTGCTCACTACTTTCTTGAAAATTGCTCTCTCAAAGGAATTTTAAAATATCCCGTTGCCAAATTCAGTGTGGCATTTTTTTGGTGCTCAGTGTTTTTGGCCAAATTTAGCTAGCATTGATAGTTTTTCATTGAGGCGATATCATAGTTTCAGTTTAGTTCTAGAGTTTAATAGTCTTCTAAGGGAGCACCTCCCAAATCTCTATTTCCAGGTATGTTCATACCCCCAGATTACAGGCCTGCATTTCCAGCTCTCTGCCAGATAGATACCTCTGTGTACCACTGGTACTTCAGCCTGTTGTGTCCAAAAGAATGTCAGCTTTTCTGCATTCCAAATTTATACTAATAGCATTAGTATTCTTCTGTCATCTGAGCTTGAAACTTTAGAGACCTCTTTGACTCCATTTTGTTTTTTTTTAATAGCCCATCTTTTTCTTTTTTTCCCCTTTTCACATTTTGCGTGTATTCTCTTGTATAGGCACTGCCAAACCCTTGCCATCACCACTTTTAGTTCTGTATTATTATGTTCCTGTATTGATTACTTATCCAACTTTCTCCACTCTATATGCTCTTCTATATTTAATCTTGAAGCAGATATCTCATAATGTTATTCCCGTTTTAGTATTATTTATGGATTCCCTTTTGCCAGTAGAATAAAGTCCAGGCTTCTAACCCTGGCATTCAAGGCCTGGTCTATGAAGAAATCAGCATGGATGGAAAGAAAGAATGGAGAAGAATCCATGTTTGATGTTTGACTCTGTAGGGATGGAAATGAAGCTAAGCTATTAGTCAAAGAACTCCGTGTTTTGAGCTTGGATATCTTAAAAGACTATCCCAGCTGAAAAGCATTGGATCATAATATCTGTCTTTGTAGCACAATTCTTGTATTAATTTTCCTTTCCCAAGCAATTGACATGGCACTAACACTCTACAGTTTAGGCTCTTCCATTAGGTCTTGTCATCATTTCCTGTTTATGTACTCTGAATAATTTCCTCTGCTTTTGTTCTGGTCATTTTCTGCAACCCATAAGTCTTCCTTTTTGGAGAAATTGTTGCTAATTCCAACAGGAGCAAAAAAACACTAATTGTTTTAGATGCTAGTTTGGTTTGAAACTGTTCATGACTTATAAATTTGCTCAATTCTTTTTTAGGAAGGACCATTAAGACCTGTTCTTGAATACATTGACCTAGTCAGCAGTGATGATGAAGAGCCTAGCACCTCTAATAGTGATGTAAGTATATTATATTTGATTGGCATTTCTTCACTTGTGTCGTTTAAGAAGAGTTCTCTAAAGAGAGTTACTGAATCAATAATTGCTGTGTTTAGGAGTTATATATATGCTTTGGAGAATGGCCCATTTCTACTAGAATGGTCCATTATAGGGTACTCCAAGGAGTCGTTTGCCCAGAACATCTCCTACTTCCAATTTTGTTCCTCTACTTTCAGTGAGGATGTGAAAAGATAACATGATGGGGCAGTTCTAAGCCTTGGACATGATATCTGATAAAAGGGAAATGGAATAAAAACTGTAAGCTTTTTGGCTCCTCTTGCCCTTCTCTTTTCCTATACTCTCCTCAGGCGTCCTATAGAACTGGATTTTTTTCTTCCAGAACCAAGAGGCCACAGAAAATTTGTTTTATCATAGAAGAAATAATATGTGAAGATTCTTTTAAGAAATGGAATGTGGGGAAGGGTTTGCAAGTGGTATATTACTTTAGTCATCATCTATTTTAATCTCCTCTTTTCCCCACATATTTGGAGTTTTTTATCTGATCTGTGACTGACTGGTTGTGAGTTTGACCCTTATATCAGTATTTCACTTACTCTCAGAATTGAGCTAGTTGAGCCCTTTGTAGCAATCTTACCTTTCATTTGTCTTTGCATTGGCCCAAATTTCTATTAATCGGCTGTTTTCTTGATGGATTAGAGAACTCCTGGCTCTTGTTTAAGGTGGCCAGAAAGCTTCTTGCTTTGTGATATTGGGGATTGAGATTCATGCCTGATTTTGAGTTCCAGCTTTATTCCTTACTAATTCTGTGACTTTGGATAAATTAGATAACCTTTTATCCTCATTTTTTTAATCAAATAATACCTACCTTATAGGGTTGTTGTGGGGATTAAATGAGGTAACATGTATGTAAGCTCCTTAAAAACTACAAACCATAAATAGGACTATACAACTGGAAAGTTGTTATTCATGAAGAGCAAATGGCAGAGAATTTTTAAAGGGGCTTCCAAATGACTCTAATGGAATTTTAGGAATTTTTTCCCCCTCTCAGTGGAACTTTCTTCAAGTTCTCTCTGCCATCATTAGTTTCCACTTGCTGACTTAGATATGCTGAATAGGATTTTTTCTTTTGTTAATTGTTATTACCATCACCTCTTCTTATCCTAACACTGGGCCATGTAGCAGGCCCGGGATAGCACCACTTGAACCAAGCTTGTTTTTACTCTCCTTTTTCATAGACAGAGTCCCAGATTAATGCCAATACTTAAAATTGGGTCTTAGGTGTATTGAAGCTTGTAGATTTGACTTCTATGATCCCTTTTCTGATTGCATCTTTCATTGTTAATTATAATAATTTAAAGATTGAGTTCTACTTACTGGACATGCATCTCTGCACTTGAAAGTTAACGTATTAAAAGCATATTTTTTTTCTTCCTTGGTTTTCTTGTTCATGTGGATAACCCAGAGAATGCCTGAATCTAAGGTGCCATCCTCTGAGAATCATCGCCCAGAAATGTGCTCTAGCTGCAGTGTTCCTCTTCCTATTGGAGACAGCAGCTCCTCCTCTGGGAGTTGCTCCAGCAGTCCACAAAGGATAGTTTCTCAACCTTCCTCTGTTGAGAACCCATTGGAGAACCAGAAAAATGATCAAAATAATTCAGTTATTAAATTGTGTGAGACAGAGACACTTAAACCATCACAAAATTATCAGACTCTGCCTTCATCTCCACTTCTGGTCCCCCAAGAATCTTTGGCCTCTTCTGAGGTCAAGGAAGATTTACCTATAGACTCTTCTTCAGCTTCGCAGCATGGACAGGATGCCATCCTCTATCTCCAGACACAAGTGGCTGAGATGTCCCGAGTGATACGTGATCTACAGTCCAGGAGCTGTTTTCGATTTCACCATTCTAGGCCAAGTGAACACTCAGTTCCTTGGGACATTTCTACCTCTAAGGAAGAAAATTTATCCGCAGTTGAAGAAGAGGCTGATTGCAAATCCCCATCAGCTGATGACAAAGGGCAGCCAGCTGATGCCAGCCAATCTAGTTTCACAGGTCTTTTGAAGAGAATGGAACAAAGAGGTGTTATAAAGAGGGTTACATTACAGTCTGAAGCAGAATCATGTGAAGGGAAACCTGATTGTGTGACCTCTAAAAAACGTTTGGTTCCTCCATTGCATCCTCTTCTGAGAATTGCCACCACTGAGGTTTTTAAAGACCCTGCTGATTGCCATCCTTCTTCATTCATGGGACACAGGGTATATCCTGTGGCCAAGGATACCTCTCCTTTCCAACCAAATCCACCAGCTGAGGGTCCCATTGTAGAAGCATTAGAACACAGCAAAAGAGGAAACACAACATCCCCTCTAGATTCTACCTCAAAAGAAATGGAGGTCATGGGTTGTAGGTTCTACCATGCTGCCTCCATTGCAGCCCGGGCTGCTAGCTACATGGCCTATATGACTCAATATCAGCGTAAACTCTGGGAAGACATGGAGGATCTGGTTCATGACCCAGAGTTTGATCGTGGAAAAGCAAGATGTATAATATCTGATGGTATGGATGCAGGCCTTTGGCAGCTTTGTACTACTAGGGACATAATGGACTCCGTAGTCAGAGTTATGGCCATGGCAATAGACTACAGAAGGCAGGCCTGGCTGCGGCTCACATCTCTCACTAAGAAAACCCAGGAGAAGATCTCACACTTGCCCTTTGATGGTACTTCCCTTTTTGGACAAGATGTGAATGCTGTTGTTGCAGAAGAAAATAGTATAAAAGAAAATGACTATAAAGATCACAGTAAATACTATAACCAGCATCGATACTTTTATAGTCATGATCAGAAAGCACATTATCACAATAGAGGATACTCCAAAGGGGATTGGTATAAACCCCGAAACCACCCTTATAGATATAGAAAAAAGGGAGAGTCTCCAGAACGTCATGGGTACAAGAATTAATAACCTGTTCATGTTCACCAGAAGTAGTCACCCAAGATCTTAACTATTTTACTTGTTCCTCCCCACTCAAACAGGATCTGCAGGTAGGAAGTCATCTGAGGAACTGAATGCATGTCTGGAATGATCACAGCTGACATTTGAGTTCTAGAATTTTGGAATGAAGTATATAATAAAGAGACTCATGCTTTATTCACCAAGTGTGCAGTGGAGACTTTCCTGTAAGGAGGATTGGACAAAGGTTTATCCGTTATTTCTGGTCAAAAATAAGTCCAGAGGAGGGCACTTAGGAATCTGAATCCTCTTGTGATTAAAATAAAATATATAGATTTGTTCCTCAGGAAAATTTTATTGGCAAACTGAGGGATAGCAGATTTTGGATCTAGGAATGACCCACTACTAGATCTCTGTTTATTAAGACCAGAGGTAAATCCTTCATGTTTAGTTAATCAGTGCTTCCTTGTTGAGGCTTCAGCTTGACACATCTTTTCGAAATGACAAATCTGTTACAGTCTCTTTATGTCAAGATAACTCACCAAGAGTTCATACTACTGTCAAACTCTATGAGACTTCAGGATCGACCATGATGCTATGTGTCAACTGTAATTCAAATCAGATTTTGCCAAATCCAGTTTGCTTCCAGTTGGGATGGTTAGATGTCACAAGTCTACTATGGATACCAGCTGGAAAAACACTTTCCTGCCTGTGACATCTTTGTAGAAATTTTCGCAGTAACTATCTTCATCAAGACTGATGGCCACCGTATCATTACCACTCATAAAGCTACATGTGCAAGAATTCTTTGTTGAATCCATCCTAATAGTCTTTTACCTATCAAGCTCTCATATCAACAAGTTGTGAGACCTGGTCATGGTGGTCTCACTATAATCTGGGCCTTTCACCAAGATGGCCTTCTTATACCTACTTTCTAAACAGTTATTTCTTTTGAGCTTGATAATGCATCACACTCTAATACAAAAAAATATATGCATATCAGTGCCATGGAAATAAAGGATGTTATTCACAGCATCCAGGCATGCAGATCTGAACTCTTAAGAGCAAGAATTTCAAACATGCCTGACAATCTGGTACCCTTATTGTAATAAAGGTGGATGTTATCAATCTAGATCTTGTTGAGAAATCCTTAAGATTTAAAGGATAACTATGGATATAGTGAAGAGAAAAAGCCAGAATAGAACAAAACAGAACAGAAAGTTCTGTTTCTGGTTACCCTTATTGTAATAAAGGTGGATGTTATCAATCTAGATCTTGTTGAGAAATCCTTAAGATTTAAAGGATAACTGTGGATATAGTGAAGAGAAAAAGCCAGAATAGAACAAAACAGAACAGAAAGTTCTGTTTCTGGATATCTGTTTAAATGACAATATCAGTTTCTTGAAAGGCTGAAATCAAGACTTCAGTGATATGTTCTTGGTTAATTGGTCACTCAGTCTACTCAGACTCTTATCATAAGAGACAACTTATTTTTTTCCTCCTGATAGGTTCCCGTAATAGTTTTCCATCATACTGGAACTGGCAGCAGATACCTCAGTTATGTGTCCAACAGTATCTTCTCTTTAATCTCAAGGCGGTGGCTGTATGGTATACCAGCCATTAGATCCTTGTCTTTGGCATGACTTCAGGAATAAACTGTCAACTTTGAGGGGTCTGAATGCATCACCTAGTAGTATTAGCTTGGCAGCCAAAAGAAAAAAAATTTTTTTTTTGTATCGACAGACTTAGAATTCTGTAACTTCCTGGTTTGTCAAAAATCTACCTTTTAAAAATCTGCTTGAGCAAGTTGTTTTGGGTATACTATTAGTGGAATATAGCACTATTTTAGTTTATGTGGTTTCTGTTCTTGCACGGTGGTGATTGACATTTTCCCTGGTGCCCCACTTTTTTTTTT